AAATAAATAAATAAATAAATAAATAGATAAAATAAAACAATAATAATAAAAAAATTCAAGGCTACGGGCGTAGTCCCTCGCGGGCCAATATCCTGCATTTCATTGGCTAATAGGTTGCTATATCAACGAATGGATGTCACTCAACTTGCCTTGACTTGGGTTAGGTGGCCAAGGGGTGAAAAACTCGTTGACTTGCGTGCAAATTTGATCTAGACCAAAGTGAGCGTAAGTCATCGCAAGTCATCGCAGCTGTACGCAAGGCCTGGTTAAACGCAGTCGCAATGAGACCCACTTGGCCCTACTTGCAAGTCTGTTTGGAGGGCTTTACCATTTCTATTTTCGATCGAAACTGAGGAAATATCCCTTTTCGCCTTAACACTGAGTGGCTCTCAATTTTCATTGGCATCACATAGGATAGTCAATATCGGCGGTTCTATCGTGAATTTGATCCATCAAGGTGGCGATATTCTAATACTGAACATACATTTTAAAAGAAATAATCAATGACTTAGGCAGACCAATTGGCAAAAATATTCTCTCTTAACATCTAAAATTGTGATATAGTCTTCAAAAGAAAAAAAAGATATAAATATAACTGTATTAATTACAAATGTAACTAAGCGCTGGATCACAGCGACTGTGAATAAACAATCTAGGACATTCCATTTGTTTAGCGATGCTGAGATTGAACAGTAGCAATGAGGGCGCTGTGTAGTATGGCAAAGGAGTCGAGATGTCTTTTTCCATCACAACCCGCGCGTTACCTACTACTAGAATCCCGTCCGTACTCGGCAACAAGCGTGATGAATACGAACCTGGTGGTCGTCTGGTTGCCGTCTGGTGGAAAGAAAGAGCACGGAGAGCTCCTCGGATGTCACGGGGGAGCGTTGAGTGACATCCCGAAAAAACGGCTGCAGTTCAGGCAAATGTTCGTTTCGGCACCCGAAGAATTCCGATTTCTATTAGACCTAGCGATATCAGACACTGGCGCGAGTTTTCCCGAGTACTTCCGAAAGCTGGGCTGTCAGAGTGACGTGATAGCGTTAGCTTGCGTTATATAACAACATGCTTGGCGAAAACCGCTGAACTTTAATAAGCTACAACGGTAATACAAGTATGACTAGTAAAGGAAAAGGAGAGTACCTCTTCATTCCAAACAATTCAGTGATTTCTTTGCCTGTTCAGTCTCCGAAGAGAGCTGCGCTCAACTTCATCCTTGTTTTCCGTGAGCTATCAAAAAGAAGGGAAAATCTACTTCAATGTAGCTACATTTTCCGCTCATTAGACTAGCCCATTAGTCTGTGTACAGCCGCCCCCTCTCCCTTCCGCTCCCCGATTTTTTTGAGGGGAGGAGACGGCTGTACAGAGGCTGTAGCCCTCTAAACGAACCAGAAAAGTTCATGCCGTTTAACAGATGTAAACAAATCGAGTTATAATTTTTTGCTGTTAATTTCATGTTGCGTTTATTCTCGAATTCATTGATAAGGCACATATGTTTTAATTGTATCGTCTTGGAAGCAAATCTTTATCGGCAGGTTTTGTTTCATGAAGTGGCAATTCTTACGCGAGGTCCCTTTCGCGCTGATAAAACAACCGCCCGCAAATGACCCAACGTTTGTAAACTTTCGTCTGCTGTCGACAAAACTTATTCTGATACTGGAAAACTTTTTGCATACTTCCAGATCTTACGAGAACATCTTGTCCAGTAAAAAAAAAAGATATATATAACGGTAAAAAATATTGGAAAGAAAACCTCTGAACTGATAAAAATGGCCGTGATATTACGGAGCCATTTTTGTCGCATCAGTCCAAAACACCCGTTGTGTAATTTACGTTCAGTGAGCAATTACATCACAGTTTTGGCCTGTTAATAAAATATTACTGGCTGTTTCGCTACACGGAGCTGAGGTCACAGGATTCAATAAAAGAGTTTGAAGTCTCGTTGGTGAAAAATTCAAGTTTTCTTGAGGATTTTCCACGTATATTTGTCGCAGTTTTTTCTGCGGACTTCTCAAATGAAAGGTAAGGTGATGTTGACCCTCTTCTGCTTGTTTTATTCGCTCGTTTTGATCCTATGTCTAGTATGTGTGCGAGGCAAATATGGAACAGGAAACCTGGCGAGTATATTTGGCTACACGGGTTTAATTCTTACTCTTGGGCGCCATGTTCTTCGCTAAGATGGTCAGAGTTTGCAAAATTAAACCTGATCGAACATTTTGAAGTTTTCTTCGTGCACTTTGATAATAAAGTGTTTCAAGCGCTTATCGCATGGCTTTGGAAAGTTTCCCTAGCTAGTCTTGTGGTGGTACTATTGTTTATTGAATTGCCGGAACAAAACACAGCAATGAATCATTCATGTTTGGCAGGTTAATCATAACATGTTCAGATGCAATGAGAATCAAAAACAAGAATCTCTCCGAAATAAATTTAAAACTACTTTTTTTTGTTACAGCACCAAATAATTCAACCCCCAGTTATGTCAAGAGAAGATTTTTGTTTGATCTTTCTTTGTGCTAAAACTTGCATCTTTATAAAAAAAAAAAAAAAAAAGTACGTACTGTTTCGCTTGGTAATCTAATTTAAGCTCGGCTTAGTCTGTATCATGATCACTTGTGTGATCAAGGAGCAAGCCAGTTGTCAAACTCCGCAGCAGAGTCAAACACAATTGGCCGTCAACTTCAAATCCATGCCATACGTTTATATTTTTTCTTAAGAATAAACTTGTGATCAAAATGCAAATCTTCTTTGCAGCCAATGTTATGATATACCGGGAAAACGATTCAGTTGTATTCATAGTGTAGACAGTGGGATTGTCACCGCTCGAATTAACGAATCGAAACTTTCCAACACTACACAAAAATATTTCGATTTAAGGCCGGTTTGAAATAAACTTGTGCTAACCTGTTGGGAGAGGCTCCCCAGAATTTGCTAATCTAACGGTTTCTAAAATGAGGAAATTTCGTAAAAGTACCGATAAAAATCCAATGAAACCGTGAAATCGATCGAAATATATCTTGTTAACTAAACCGTTATATAGGTTAAACGGAAATTTGAAGCCAAGGCTATCTAAAATATTTTGGCTTTAATAAATTGCATGACCTGGGAATTTGTTGAGAAGATTTTTTTATGCCAATGTTTCTCGGCGCAAATAAGTCAGACGTCAGATAGTCTAGGAAAATTTCCGTTAAAGAAACAGTGGAAAGTTTAACCGGCTAAGAAGATATTCTAGCTTTTCCATATTTACTTGTCATGATATCATTACTCTGACACACTAAGGCTTATTTCACTAATTCAAAGTGGTAAAGTTGTCGCCCTTTCAAAATCCAATCAGACGTGGCTAAACCCAACTGAAATCATTGTCTTCTGAAAGCCATTCAAGTTTCGTGTAATACCGCTCGAAATTAACACATGCTGTCCGCAATTCACGTGAACAAGTTACAACTTGCAATATAAACTACTGAAATGTGGAAGTTACAGAGTTGGAATCTTAGCAAGTAACCAGAAATTATAAAAGACCTTGGAGAATCTTGCGAAGCTAAAATTTTAGTACCATTTATCATTAGCCAATTTTAAAGGGATTTTACATGCTTTCAAGGAAACCAAATATTGCAATGGCTAAAAATATCAACCAATACATAGTTTGCTGTTTGTTTGATCAGTTCCACACTTTAGAAATGAAAGCAAGCTTAAGTTATGAAGGTCAATTAGGGCGTGGTCAATGAGATCGAAGATAGATCATATAGTCAAACCTGGGTGGCCGTTATGGGGAGTTAGAGGGTGTGACATTTTTTTATTAAAAAAAAAATGCTTATTGTAGCGTGTAAATGGGTAACAATGAAATATATCAACAAAATTGAAACCAAATAGAAACAGAGGCCAACGGAGTTGTACAGATCACGTTTCGTGACCTTTTCGTGACCTTTTCCCGCGCTTCGCCTCAGCTACCTGTATTTGGCCCGCCAGATTGTTTATTTTATACTATTTTAGTGCTACCCTCTTTAAATAAAGTCTTTACTTACTTACTTACTTACTTACTTACTTACTAAAAAAAAAAGTGGGGTTTCTATACACCAATCGTCAGTCGCTGATTAACCGGTCATTGTCGAAAGGTTTTAGCAGTTGGGACGCGCTTTAGTGGCCGTTGCTAAGCAATTGGCCTGAAAAACCCGCACAACTTTGTCATCCAATCAAAAGTGAAACCAAAACCAATCGTGACTAGCCTGTACATGTTTTCCCGCGCTTCGCCTCAGCTACATGTATTTTGGCCCGCCAGATTGTCTGTGTCCTTTGAGATTGGCAGGAGTCATTGCCTCGACTTTCGTTTTACGATACTCGATTGACAAGCTCTAGTATCTATAAAAATAGCTAACATCTATTTTCTCATTATTAAAATATCAGTACATGGTCTAGCTGACAGGTGGAGAAAACAAATAAAATCATCAAAAGGAGATGTCGTTTTCATGATGTGCAACGAAATTCTCGTAACTAATGTATTGAAATCAGTAAGGGGGAGATTTAAAATTTGAACTGAAAATGTTCTTGATATTATTCCTGTTTGAAAAATCTGAGTTGAATTTTAACTTTTTCCAGCAAAAAGGGAACAAAACTACAAGTATTCTGCCTTGCAGTTTTCTTATACCTAGTTATTCAGGTTAGTTATGACGTGTAGGTTTCTAACGTATTTTGCTACAACTCGCAAAGCATTGCTAAGGCAGCTTCCACAACACGTCGGTGAAATTTGAAAACGCAGCTTTATTTCTACAGTTCCACCAACTGTCCACAATAATCCTTCACGAAAATAGAGCTTTCTAGCTGTAATAATATTAATATAGCCTGCGAAGTGCTCGTACGCTCTCTTTGCTAGCCGAATCTTTCTCCGTCCTCGCCGAGAGCCTGTTCACAGGCTGAGCGTTTCGCAAACGCTCTTCAAACTGGAGGAATTTGAAAACGCCGGCTTTTCGTTTTCGTTTGGTTAAGTCTGTATACGAGCCAAGTTTGCCATCAGGCCGGCACTTATTTCCGGTTTCTGTAGCATTAAGTCTGATGAAGTGACTAGGAGTATTTCTACTTCCCCCTGGATGGGATGCTAATCCATCCCAGCAGTAAATTCGCCGGTACTCACTTATACAGCTAAGTGGACAGAGGCACTGTGAGAGTTAAGTGTCTTACCCAAGAACACAACACAAAGTCCGCGGCCAGGACTCGAACCCGGACCGCTCGATCCCGAGACGAGCGCACTAACCATACTAACCATCTATACGGCTACCGTGCCTCCCTCTCCAATATGGTCTCATTAGTTAGTCTATTTGGTTTTTGAATATATAACACATAATTTGACATGTGGCTTGTCTTTCAGGGATGTGTTTGAGTCTCCCATTTCTGCTGTGTGTCACTATTGCCTCATTGCACTGCAGCACCGAGGCAAAGCGACTCTCCAACTCCAGATATCTACTGGGTAAAGCACTGCTTAGAAGAGCACGGGAGATCAACGAAACTAAAAGCAATGGTGACGTGTTAGAAGATGAGATGTCAGAGGAAGAGCGAGAGAAAGTCTTGCAAACAGACGCGTTAGAAGACATTTTCGTTGGTTCCGGAAATCACGTGTACGAGAGCCAAGGGAAATCGGAGACTTCCGGTTCAAGGCGAGAAGAAACTTTCGCTTCTGACGAGAGCGAGGCCGAGGAAGCGGAAGAGGATAATGGCAATCCTACTTCCGGTGATAGCAATGCGGGAGAAAGGAGTGAGGATGATGAAAGTGACGAAGATGAGGATGAGAAGAGCGAAGACGATGACGATGACGACGGAACAGAAACGAAAAAAGACCAAGAAAGCCAGGAAAGCACAAACGACGAGGATACAAGCGGGTCAGGGCTGATTGAAAGTGAAAGAGCCGCAAGGCGCTCGTCAGACATTTCCGGTTCAGGCTCCGGAAGTGAACAGCAAAATGATGCTACTGAGCAATCAGGGTCAGGAGAAAGCACCATTGAGGAAGTTGCGCCCGCGGCTGCACCTCAGGTTGAGGCCAGCGGAACTGAGGAAAACGCCGCGAAAAAATCGGAAATCGAAACAGCTTCCGGTGACAGTCAAGACGAAGACGAGGAAAGCGGAAGTGCAGACGCTATCAAAAAAGGAATTGAAAGCTTGAGCCGACTTTTAACGCCAGTAGCCAGCGGTTACGATTTTGAGTTGTACAGCGGTAATACTGCGAACGATGATAAAGAAGTGGAAACTGAGGCGGATGGAGAGAGCGAGAAGGGAGTCAGCTCCGATACAGCGGAAGTCCACGTCAAGCAATGTAAAAGAGTTTGCGAAGATCCCATGACTTATGAACAATGTGCTGTGCCTCGCTGCGACTATAAAATGGGAACCATCAAAGACTTGTGCATCTATCTGTGTAAGCATCAGACCCCCGTCTGTAGACAGCAATGCGAGTAAGTAATGTCTAAGGAGACTTATTTTCGCGATGTGAATAATCGATAACTTTTTTTCTCGATTTCATTACGAGGCTGAAAATGAATTTGGCCGTTTTCGTCTTCAGGTCCTTAAGAGATTTATTAGTAAAATTCGTTAAGGGGGAACTGGAGACGAGAATGGTATAACCGCTGTACTCAATTGACCTCAGGCTCGATTGTTTCTAATTTAACAAGGCCAGTCTAAGATTTATTGGTTGACTGAATAAACAAACCACGGGCGAGCAACATTGACAGAAACTCGTTTAAACAAGTGATTTCTCTTTATCTTAAAAGTTTAACAAATACCGTGAATCACGATTTGACACCGTGTGTAAATTGTTTATTGAACATCACGAAACACTAACTACAAAAATCTAAACAAGTAATAACGAGCTGAATAAATAAAAAGAGATATATTAGCAAGAGAAAAAAAATGAACCTTTGTAAAGAAAGACAATTTAACATGCGAATTGTATGATCCCAGACTAGCACCGACATGTCTCTGTACGTATTGCGCGCCTACTTACGCTGGATTACAAAGTGAGATTATCCAAACTGACGAAAAAGCTACAAAACAGACAGTGAATTTTTAGCCCAACAGACATTTATCGTACAGCGAAAATCAGCCAGCTAAGAGACCTTACACACATGGATCCAACCAGTTTACTGATGACAATAAAGAAGGAAACAACTTTTCCTGAAAAAATATTTAAATATTTTAATTTGAAAACGCAAAAAACTTACAATGTCTGAGATCGACATGTTTCGCAATGCAATCCGCACGTTCATTTATATCGTGTCGAGCTTGCTGAGGGATTAAAGTTTTCGGAATGCAGTGGAATGGCGATTTTTCGAACCTTCAAGGCAAACGAAAAGTGGTATGAAAAGTCTGTTAGTTCGAGAAATCGTGGGTAAAATTACAGTGTTAGACTGAGAGGAAGAAAACAACTTTTGGTTCGAATTATCAGGAGGATTGAAAACTCGAGGGTTTAAAAAATCGGGATTCAACTGTATATAACTTTCTCAAACTGCCTTGCTTTTAGGTCGTCAAGTTGGACTTTTATCTCATTGTTTTTTGTTTTGTTTTGCTTTTTTCACTGTGAAGTAACAATTTCTTAAGCAAACAAAACCGTAATCTCCTAAGCACGTGCCCACACACATGTACAACAAAGAAATTAGAATGTCATAGTTCCCTAAGACAGTGTTATATAATGAAACATTGTATTGGCTGTAATGAGTTTAAGGGGCTTGAACCCATCGATCGGTTATTTTGCATTCGCCGCATTTGACAACTACCTGTTAAATCATTATCTGGTAGTCAAAATATATTTAAACCGTCACCTATGGTGGCTGTCTTCTCAAACGATCTTGGAATAAAAAGTATAGATGTGATTCCTTGTTTTCGTATACGAAATATTATTATTAGTAGTAATTGAAAGCAAGGAAAGCATTGAGATTTTTTACAATGAATTCTATAGAAGCTTTTAACATGGTAACTGGCAGTCTGCGTCAAAAATACGCGTAAAGCAGATTTGCAGTACGTCGCCTACGAATGAAGACAAATCTCGGCCTGTGCATGTGATTTTTTGGGAAGTCGAAATGCAGTTCAACGTCTCTTCAAAGACCATGCTCGGGCAGAATTAACTGATCGTGTAAGAAAATGGTCTTTGCAGGGAGCTAATGAGCTAAGGATGGAATGAAAAAAAAGCTAGCCATTGTGCACCGTTGGAGAGGGCATGATTGTATGAAAACAACGGCCGGAAATTCGTCTTCGTTCGCAGGCTCTTAATTGGAGCTTTGAAGTTTCGTTTTAATCGAAATATAAATGGTTAATAAATATTGCTTCGGAGTAACGAGTTAAACTATAGTGTTTAGAAATGGAACTAACCACTAATAAACTGTAAAAAATCTCCTTGTTGAATAAAATCATATGAAATATCACGTTTTCAGTGTTCTTGTCTTTTTGATATAGATGACTTTCGAGAGCTGTCTTACTTTGTTGCCTCATTTTGTTTCTCAGTCCAAAAAATAGAGAGGAACTGGTAACTGATTTGCCACTAAAGCTAAAGGCCGTGACAATTTCGTTCTCAGAGACGGTCGGTTTTTTTAGCAGACAAGAAGTCACTCGTGCTAGTGCTGAGACTCCGTCGGTTAACAAAATGATGACGTAACTCCGGCACGACAGGGTCACGCAATATAAATTTTGCAGGGAAGGCTGGGTTACTTCTTGTTTAGTGATAGACTGGGAGAAGTCTCCCTTTTCCTCGAAAATCCGTGGGAAAGAACGCAAAACACGTGAGCGTGGAAGCGTGACGTGCAAGCGGCGAGTAGCGCGGCTTCGCATATCATGCTCGCGCGCTCACGACTGCTCGTATCTGTTACGTTCTTCTTTGGGTTTTTCCCCACGGAATTTCGAGCAAACGATAGACTGCTCGCAGTCTACTTTAATGATTTGCCCACTTGTTCATAAACAGGACCAAGCCAAATGTTAATCGAAAAGAGACGAACTGGTACAACTAAGAAAGCAAATAAAATTTTAAAGGTTTAAAAATAAGTTATTCGCAGTACTAAAAGAAGGTATCAATTTATTCAATGACAAAAGCTTTAGAAGCAATGCTGTACAAGCGTTCTCATCATGTACAAAGATGCATTTATGTCTTGTGCAGTCGCGAAAAAAAAATATGCTAGATAGTTTACATTGAATTCTGCAGGTTTGTCCTAGTATTACTAGCAATAAGGTGACCTCAATCTTCTTTAAAAAATCTTTGCCTCACTGGCTTTATTTCTCAAATTAAACAGAACTGAATGGAAGCCCTTTGCTGTTACACAATCCGTGAGCGTATCTTACTTCCCCTTCAAACTGTGAGCCTGACACAGACGGTTTTACAGTGGATTCCCTCAGTGGTTCATCCACTGTGAAAGTTTGTGAGCATGACGCAAAAGGCTTTGCAGTGGATTCCTTTAGCATTGCATGAACGATGAAAGATTGTGAGTATGCGGCAGATGAATCAGCGGATTCACTCCTCGGTGAAGGCGTCATTTCTTCAGATAATTCAGGGTTGTTATTGGGAACAGATAACGTAAACTTGGTACCCAGGGCACCGCTTGAATGTCCTGGAATAAATGCATTGTGGGCTGTGCTAGATCCGGAAACAGAAACAACTGACGGATTCGATGTGTTTATGATAACATTTGGCGAGGAGACTGGAGCTACTGTCGCCGTTGGATAATGTAGCTTCTTAAGACCTAAAGGGGACAAGCATAATTCAAAAATAAACCAATTCATCACAATCAGTCAGTCAATCAATCCATAAGTCGGTCTGTCCGTCTGTCAGTGCTAGTCTGTGAATCAAATATCTTCATTACTCAATTCGAATACCGTTTAAGAATGGTACGTGGTGTTGAACAAACTTTTGAATCACAGCATGAATGAGTTCATGCACATGTGGGTGGTAGGGTGGATGCAAAGTGAACGAGTGATTAAGAACAAACGTACGAACGCGGAAAAGTGAAAGAAGCACAACAAAAAAGTTCAATTGTTTTCTTCTAAAGAAATGTTCCTGGGACAACGTACTTTCAACAGCTTCTACTGGCAAAGTTTCCTGGGCGGAGACGATCCCAGCATTCTTGGTTTCATGATGCATGGATGTAGAGGAAGAAACAGATTTCACATTCCCTTCACAAGATCCCGAACTCTGAGTCCACATCATAGAGGGGTTCGTAGGGCTTTGGGTAAACTGTCCCGCCAATCCAAGCCCCTGAACGCTTGGAAAACCTCCTACTGGTCCTTGCTGCGTTTGAGCCAACTGATAAGGATTGCCAAACGGTGCATATAAAGTGAAAGGCACTTGAAGCGAGGTTTGCCGGGGGAAAAATTGCATAGGTGTATATAAAGTAGAGTTCCATGTGGCGCTAGGGGAAGTGGATCCAGATATTTGGTCAAACTGTTTTTCTGTTGCTCGTGGGGTACGGTTCTTTTGTCGTCTGTGTTCGGGTTTCTTGGTGGAATACAGTTGTCGTTTTACGTGGACCAACAGATCTGTAGACGAAAAGATGAAATCAAGATTTTACTATTTTAGTGCTTTCGGGAAAAATCTCAAATTAACGAGAAAAATATAAGTAGTGTTTTATGAAACTGGATCAGAGCTGAAATTAAGATAGGAAAAACGCGATATAGAACGTACCTTAGGTTAATTTGAGGTAGGTAATTTCAATGCCCATCTTTCAATTATTAGCTAAACATGCTAATTTAAAACTTTTATTTAATCTCAGTGACTTATCTCAATTGCATTAATGCTCAAATCTTTCTTTTCCTTCAGTTATGAAAGTCTTATGAATATCATTGGTAAGTTTTCATGAGAACTTCCAGCGCAAACACAAAGAGATATTTTCTAAGACTATATAATTATAAAACCTCAGGATATTGTGAAATTGATACAAGATATAAGGTCGTTTAAATTTAAGTGCCCTGATATAGCGACCGCACAAGCCCACTCTAAAGGTAAGAAAAATAATCTATTTGGTTTTCTGAACCTTACCTCGCCTTCCCTTTCGAAAGAAAGGATGTTTAAATTCACATTTTGAAAAGAACGATAACGGCGAAGTTGACGTCCTCTTTGCATATTCCGTGACTTTACGAAATCCATACAAGTTTAGTTGTCGAACAAAACTTGCAAAATGCTTTGTCTTGAAAAGCGCGCTCGATGGATTGATTAGAATCTCTGAAACGAATCTCTGAATGCTCGGAATAACGATGCCTGTTCCTTGTGTGTTCCAGTGAATTTCTTCGCGTTTAGGATTATTAACAATCCACCATAACTTCTCTGGAAAGGCCAGCAAAGCATAATCAGATTGACGATCTGTTGGTAAGTAAGGAGAAACTCTCGCCATGTTGAACGTTATATGTGAAGAAAACTTTCAGGGTTTCTAATCTGTTATTTTCGCGTTTCCATGGAATTTTGCGTGGTTCTTGCGTGACGCGTGAATGGCGCAACAACGAGACTTTTGATTGGCTGAAAGTAAGTGCGCGCGCAAGATTTGTTGTTTCCGCCAGGTCCAGGGGTTAGGTAGAATTTTTCAATAGAGAGTTCTTACGCCAAGTCTCATTGGGTTTGTGAGCATGCCTTCTTCACCTCCACTCCCAACCTCTTAAAAGTTTGAAAACACGATTTCCATTGGCCTTCAATATACTCTAGAACACTGGATATCTTTTTACGAGTTAATTATTTTTTTATTATTATTACACAGAACATGTAAAGTAGTTCAGCCTCAATGGCATGTCCTTGGTCACTAAAAGTATGCAATTCGCAGTTAGTTTGACTTTCTTTAACTGCAATTTGTATAACATTTTTGATCTGATTGAATAAGTATGTCGCTAGCCAAATAGTACTTCAAATGAGACCGCAAAAACATATTGTGGCTGACATTTTTTAATACTTTTACATCATTTGATCATTGCCATTAACTAGGATTTGATTATCACCCAGAAAATTATTTAGGCGATTTTGTGTGATATTTGTTTCCATCTCTGTACCTTACAGAAACTAAAGGGAAACGTTAAGATATTTTCCTAGTGTTGACCACTAGTTGCTCCTCTACGTTTTAATTGAGCAACTTTTCATACGAGTGAATTTTAAAGGAGCTCAATCACGGTTTGCACATTTTGAAAAGTTTAGCGTAAATTTTTCAAATTCGTCGTTTGCAATCCGTGTCAATCTTCGCCATCCTTGACCATCCTTGTTCCTTTATCGTTTATTATTATCTCTTTGATGTTTTTCTGACTGAGCTTTTTTAAGCATTTTGAGAAATCGGAGCAGCTACTGTGCATATTGGCCTTAACATTTTCGGAAGACTCTGTAATGTGTCCCGACGGCCATACGAACTATTTCGAGCACTTTTAATTTTGTGAATTGTGAACTCTTCAGGGAGCTCGGAAGACTTACTTTCACAGTTTTTTTTTTTTTAACCATAGGTATTAAAAGCTTCGTTTGTAACGGTACTCTGCCTCAGTTTTTATTTTATTCTAGTTTTTCTTTGTAACTATTTGTTGTTTAGGAGATCCGAGCTTTCCACCTTGTAGCCGCCATGATTTTAATGTCCCCAACCGAGAGGTCCTGGGCACCAAACTGCAATTTTCCCGCCATTTACCCCGACTTAACTTTGCAAAGAACTCTGGGTAATATGAACAAAGCGCGCATAGTTTGCCGGGAAATCATCGTGTCCGCCATCATGCCTCCGAAGAAGAAGGCTGCGAATGAGCCTACGAAAAAAACCGAACAGAAAAAGAAGGAAAAGATAATCGAGGTATTTGACAAACTGGTCGTCTTTTCGAATAATCTAAATTTCCTTCTGTGAGCTTAGATTTGTGATTTCTATCTCGCACAGGATAAAACTTTCGGATTGAAAAACAAGAAGGGCAAGAAACAGCAGACATTCGTTAAACACGTTACTCAACAGGTAAGCTAATAATAGATGTACTTTTTGGAGATTTTTACGATTTGAGTAATTGGTGGTTTGCCTTTCTTTCTTGGAAAAAGGTCAAATATGGTGGCAATCCTAGTGCGAGAAAGGTACGTAGAACATTACAAAACATGCATATCAGCTGAAGTACCACACGCGAGTAACTTGAACTTAACTTAGTAAATATACGTACACGTTTAGTGATTGATGTCCAGTGATTCGTTCGAATATTTCATATTTACCAAAATGATCTTCTGTTTAATAAGAGTATTGTATTCTTTATAAATAAAATAATTTACAAGAACCGGCTAATGGGTAAATCTTCTAGTTTATGAAGCTGAAAAAGAAAAATAATGTTACACCATCGTCCAAATTGAACTTACCTTAAAAGCTAATATAAGCTTATTTTTATACGATTTTCTCGAGTTTTTCAAGCTACCAAAAGCTTCGTAAATCGAAGTTGCAACAAATACGTTTTCCGGATTAAACAAAGTAACTAATTAATTACCTTTGCCTTGCGATTACTTGTACATGTACGTGGTTAAGATTTGTATCAATTAGTTCAATCGTTCAAGTTTTTGTGTAATAAAAATTATCAGCATTTATAGCTTGTAAATACAGTGGAATCCCATCACACTGTTAACCCTATCAACACAACAAACCCATTATTGTGGTCACTTTTTAACCCCCCAAAAATGCTTAGTCAGTCATTTCCTTGTTTTAACAACTTCGATAAAATAGCCAATGCTTACTTCTCCTTGTGGTACAATTCAGGACTGGAAATAAGGGTTAGGATGACCAGCCAAATATACTTAAGCCTGGTCATACTTCGTTTACGAGTCAAAATTTTTATGGTCAGATATTTTTGCTCTATTAAATACACAATAATAACTCACCCTCCTTCTCCTCCCCAGAGCAATAGCTAGGTAATTTTCCAGGGCTTGAAAAAAAAATTGAATTCCAGCTTGCCCTTGGTATTAATTTTACTTTACCTGGGCAACTCTTAGTTTGCTCTTTTAATGCTTCAGATGGCAGATGACATGCCAGATCCCGTGCCCATTGGGCAAGTGATCCAATTAAAAGCTACTGGTACTTGCCCAGAAGAAAAATCTAGTTGTCCGAGACTACCATATGGCACTTGTTTTGAGCCCTGATTTTACACACAACTTGGACTCCTTGTTGTACTGATTGATTTATAATCAACTGTGAGATACATTGTTACTTAATTCAGTCCAGGAACGTTAGATCCTTTCACTTATATACATGTACAACTGATATATAAATGTGTACTAATTTTCTTAATGATCATTGTTCTTGTTTTTCCATGTAGCTTGCTCAGGAGCAAGATAACAAAGTAAGTCACTCTAACTGGAATATAAATATTATAATTAAACCTAACTTGGATTGCCAAATCAGTTGCAACTCAGCAACTGTTCCACTTTTCCTATGGTTTCCCTTCTTGTTCCAAATTATCATCTCTACCATTAAAGGTGCATATATACTGGTGGTATATCGCTTACAATACTGCTCCACACTTTCTACTAGAATGAACATACACTAAAAGTGTTCAAAATGTTCAAACATTTTGTATAAAATGTTCAAAAGTGTTGTTTAAAATGTTCAAATGTTGTTTATAGTGGTCAATGCGCTTAGCTGCACATAGCTAGTTCGCAGGCATGCCTAAGAAACAAACACATCAACTAAACATAATAGGCTTAAAAATCCCAAGTGGCGGGAGGTAGACCAGTTGGCTATTTACAAGTATGACCCAGGAGTTGAACTAGGGTCTACCGAGAAGCAACTGCAACTTAGTGGTAAGAGTGGGACTTGAACCTGCGACCTCCAGATTTCAAGTCTGGCACCCTACCCAATCGGCCATGCTGCTTCCTTGCGGAGGTTTGTTCCTCAATTTACAAACAAATTACATAAAATTACATTATTGAGTTTATTGAGGTTGAAACTTGTTGGAACCTGATTTTTTGTCATATTCATCAACTTTTAATAAAAGACTTTGTTATTTTGCATATTATTTTACAGAAAAAAACAACAGAACAAAAGAAGAAAGAGCAAGATGAAGTGAACCAGCTGTTTAAACCTGTTATTGCACAGAAAGTATCAGCAGGTCTGTATGCATGCACTTCAGAAGGCAGTCAAAAAATATCCTGGAATGTTCAGAGCCTAGGGTTGTTATAGAGTAATTTCACATGACGTCATGGCAGCCATATTGGTGTCCCAGAACAATAAAATGTGGCTATGTTGTTGTACCAAACCAATCCTGTGGGAGTTGAACTCTTTTCTTATGCAAACACTTTCTTCTGTTCCATTCAATTTGCATGGCTGCTGGCCAAATGACTGAAAATGCTCTATAGGACCTTCAGATTACAGATCATGTTAATCTTAAAATAATAAAGATGTGGGTAATATACTCTAGATAAGACATACAGTACTGTAGGGCACATTTAGTGAATAGATTTTCTAGTTGGAGCCATAGTGCACTAGCACAAAAGTCTTTTACAATGGCCTAATACTTTTTAATACTAGGTAAAAAGTCCAAAAAATAATGTTACTTGTTCATTAGGCAAGCAGTAGTTGATGAAAATCATATGCCCAACAGAAAAACCCGCTTGATCCGGTTTTTTGACTGGGCACTTTTTTGCATGCTCAAAACTCCAGTTGTGAAAGGTTTTAGATGTATCTAGCTATTAAGGCAAATTTAAGGAAGGAAGGAAGGCCTTGCAATGCAGCAAGAGGTACTTAAACCCTATTATTTAACAGCAGGAAACTAGATGTTTGATTATAGGCATATTGTAACACACAGGTGCCGATCCCAAGTCAGTAGTTTGCGCATTCTATAAGCAAGGACAGTGTTCCAAGGGAGACAAGTGCAAGTTCTCTCACGACATTGCTATGGACAGAAAAGGAGAAAAAAGGAGTCTTTATGTTGATGCCAGAGATGTTGATGACGAACTTAAAAATGGTAAGTATCACTAAGTTCGTACTTTGTACTGAAATTTCAGACTTAAATGTATGTTTAAGAATATTGAAGTGATATGGAGGTATTAAAACTTTATATGTGCATGTAGTATGTTTTAGGTAGGTAACTGTTGTAATCTTGTTTTTATATGACTGGAGACTGAATGAACCATTGTGTTTCCGAGTTAGCCTCCAGCCTAGTTATGTATAATTGTAGGACAGGAGAGATGAAGGAAGTTTTTTAGTTTCTGCAAAGGTAATACAGGTACAATCAGCGAACAAGAAGCTTTTATCCTAATGTCTTATCTTTTCTCAGATACAATGGATAAATGGGATCAGAACAAATTAGAGGAGGTCATTGAGAAAAAGCATGGCGAAAAAGAAAAATCAATGCCCAAAACAGAAATTGTAAGTACAATTAAGTGTCCACACAATAACTTAACACAGATGTTGAACTACATTTATACAGAATAAACTTAATAACTATTTATGTAAATTACAAAAAAATAATAATAATAAATAAATAAATAAATAAATAAATAAAAAAGACAAATTAAAGAAAAGCAATTTTTTTTTGTATTTCTCTACTTGGTGATCAATATGAACACAGTATTGTTAAAAATAAAGTGCAGTAAAATAAATAGTAGACAAATAGTTTGTGTTAGATTTATTAATACTGAGCAAAAAAACAAAACAAACAAACAAACTGGCGAAGATTTCCAGTTGACTTTTTACATATAGATAAAGGAAAATTGCACGCAATAATAGTTGGACAAAATGTTAAAAAATGTTCCATTCAAGGTCTTTGATTCTTGTAAGAGTACTAAAATGCTTGTTAAAACTATTTTTCAGGTCTGTAAATTCTTTTTGGAAGCTGTTGAAAAGGGACTTTATGGCTGGTTCTGGAATTGCCCTAATGGCCCAAAATGTATCTACAGGCATGCACTTCCACCAGGCTTTGTGTTAAAAAAGAAACAAGAAAAAGAAGTCAAAGATGAAATATCATTTGAAGAATTTATAGAAACAGAGGTATGCCATAGAGGATACAATACGGGGACAGGGATCAGCAGGGACAAGCAGCTCCCAAATTGTGCTTGCCCAGCGAGAAAATCCACATGTAATTCTTCCAGATGACTGGACAGCGCTTTTTGAGCCCAGCCTGCAATGAACTGTCTGTGTGGAGATTAGCTTCAATTTTTGGTCGTAGCTTACAGCAATTTTGTTTTCATTGAGTTATTACTTTTGAGCAGTTGTTGCTGTTTCCAGACAAATACCTGATGAGGTTTTTTATGGCAATTGTACTCAGCGTGTCAGGGACATTGTATACTGGTCACCAGCATCATTCAAAAAGTTATTTATTATTATCATATCATTTTTTGAATAACACTCAAAATACAAAAATATCTGGAAAAATTATGCGTGTCAGTTTTCACATGTGTACATGTGTATATACATACTCTGTTGTCTTTGCAATAATTTATCATTTGACATCTGATAGACCGCGAGATTCTCCTAGCAACTTGCATTCCGCTTTCTTCTTTGTAAAAAGGAGAATTTGACATGCGATCAAGAGCCACTTAGGTTTTTTTTCTGCCCACCCCTTCTTTTTATTGTTGGCCATTTTCATTTATGTGGAATTTTTGGTGTTTTGTCTTCAAGAGAGCAAAGCTTGGTGGAAACTTGACAAAGTTAACATTAGAAACGTTCTTGGAGTGGAAAAAGAGAAAGGCAAGTTATTAACATCTAGTTAAATATGATCAGTAATCTTTATTACAAGTTAACATTTCTTAATTAAAGGGCCCTAGGTAGCCACACCCTTGTTTTTGTTTACATGCGAGAGTTAAGTTATTATATTTTATTCGGAGCATGTCGAAATGAGCAGTCCAGCACCTCTTCCAGATTTGTATCTTCTTTGGTTCTGGTAACCTGTAGCTTCTATTTTTTCAAGAGATAGGGGTGTTGTTTGGATCATTTATGTATTGTTTCGTGAGCCAATAACAAACGGTGTTTGCACAGCTACAGGCCTGCCTGTCGAAACGAAGAAAATCACGGTGAAACTACTTAAGACAAACATACTTCCAGGGACACAAGTTACAGTAAAGCAAAAAGATTTCACTTCACCATGCAATATCAAAGTTTTGATGGCATTGAAAATGACAGAGGTTGACTAGGGTCCTTTAAAGTGTAATTTCAGGTAGTGGGTCCAAATGGCCTGTGCAAAGACACTGAAATTGTCTAACTTGTACCTCCTGGCTATCGTAGCCAGCAATAAGAAATTCCAGCTAAGAAACTCCTCTGGCTCCAAAAGCCTTTTTCATCATTAAGACTTATAGACATGTAGTAATTTTGCAAGTTTGTATTATATGTAACTCACTTTATCTCAACTGCCTAAGCCAGTGTAAAATCTTAGCTAATTATTTAGTACCCTTTTCCTCAACAGTTAAAAGAAAAGAGAGAAAAATTTGAAAAGGAGCAGGCAAAGAAAAAGGATGAATTTAAGTCTGGAAGAATTGTTGGAAAGGTGGGCAGTTCTGTGGGTGTCTAGCTGTTGTGATTTACATACATTGTGTGCAGTCTGTTTTTCCTCTTGAAAATCATGAAGAGATATGGTGAAGGTTTTACAATTTTCATCGCGTCCCGACACCTTCTGGTCCATCCTGCCCTTTTCCTTTCACTTTCACACGAATAAACACTTGTCAGATCCTGAGGGAAAAGATGCGCTGCAAGCAGTTTATGATTTATGTCAAATACTTTCCTAAATTTGTGATGGTGCATCAGGGATGACGTAGTGGTGAGAGCCCTCGCCTCCCACAAATGCGTCCCAGGTTCTATTCCAGCCCAATGCCATATGTGGGTTTAGCTTGTTGCTGGTTTGTGCCTTGCTTGGAGGATTTTTCTGCGGGTACTCCAGTTTTCCCACCTCCAGAAAAACCAACACTCCAAATTCCAGTTAGACCAGGATAGAGGACCTGCGTGAAAACCAGCTAAGGCTGATGTGGCCTCCTCTCTAAATAATTGTAATTTATTAATAATTATCTCCTCAGAGCTTTATTATCTAGCTCTCTGCACGCACTGCAGGCCTATGATGAGGGAGCATCATAGGCCTGCAGTGCGTGCAGAGAGCTAGATAATAAAGCTCTGAGGAGATAAATTATTTTTCTATTTATCTTTTTATTTAAATTGCACAATTAAATATCTACAAATAGTACTCCTTCTGTTTCTGTGAATTAGCCATACTTTGCCACTTAGGCAACAAATTTGAAAAAACATTGAAGCTTTATACTTACTTATCTAACGTTCCACATGCATTGTTGGCTTATGATGCTAGCATTGCAGTATGGGTTGTGACATTTAAATCAAATGGTAAGCTCTTTAGTTGGCAACAATGGGAGGTGCGGTGGCCTCATGTTCAGTGCACTTGTCTCCGGATCAAGCAGTCCAGTTTTTGTGCCAAAGGTCATGTTATGTTCTTGGGCAAGACCCTTTACTCTCACAGTGCCTCTCTCCACCCGGGTACTGGCAAACTTAATGCTGGGGGTAACCCTGCAATTGACTAGCAACCCATCCAGGGGGGCGGGGGATGGGGGTACAAATACTCCTAGTTGCTCCATGCTCCAGAAATCAGAGATATGTGCCGGTCTGATGGTCCACTTGGCTCGTACGTAGACTTAGTTGGCTACAGCCTCTGCCGTAACAATTCAGTGGGTTTGTGTGATTACTATAGGTCAGTGGTCGTGAAGTGTTTATGTTCAGACCAGAGCTGGTTGAAGCTGATGCTGATGATGATGAAGCCACAGAAGATATGAGTGTGTACAGACGGAAGGATGAAGATGTAAGTGACCTATCTCTAGATTAAGTCCCCAGGTATGAGAACACTCTCTCTCTGTATGCATAACGCTCTTAGAGCGTCTAGTTACATGTAATGAGGGTAGAACTGAATTACCTTGACAAAAAAAAAAAAAAAAAAAAAAAAAAAATCAAAAAACAAAA